TGTTATAATATCATGAAATGAATTATTTGTGCAGTTCTGTGCATTTTCTGTGCAGTTCAACCTTTCCATTGCGAGACAGTATACTGTAGCAAGTAGTAACAAGCAAACGTTGAATAAATTCCTAATTCGTATTAAAAAAATTATTTAACACAATAATTTCAGCTTTATTATGATTATTCTTGATAAATGACCACAGGTCAACTTGATTTTCAATCGTTATAGTCTTTAAATTCAGTGTGAATAGAGAAAATGTGTAATATAATTCATTGACAAATTCATTAACAAACGTTGAATACATTTTAGATTCGTGTAAGAAGAATTATTTAACACGATAAATTTAGCTGTACTATGGTTATTTTTAATCTACGACCACAGGTCAACCTGATTTTTAATCCCTACGAAATTAATTTAACCACGAGTAAGTAACGAGAACGCTAAAACCTATGTTTCCATTGAAGAATATTGTAAAAACGTATAAATTGTTATATGCAATGTTATAACAAATTGTCGGAAGTATAAATTTATAACAAAATTGTAAAAATTGGTGAATAGAGAAAATGTGTAATATAATTTATTTCATGGTATTGTAACAAGCAAACGTTGAATACATTTTTCATTCGTGTAAGAAGAATTATTTAACACGATAAATTTAGCTGTACTATGGTTATTTTTAATCTACGACCACAGGTCAACCTGATTTTTAATCCCTACGAAATTAATTTAACCACGAGTAAGTAACGAGAACGCTAAAACCTATGTTTCCATTGAAGAATATTGTAAAAACGTATAAATTGTTATATGCAATGTTATAACAAATTGTCGGAAGTATAAATTTTTAATAAAATTGTGAAAATTGATAAATTATACCGTGTTACGATATCGGAAATCTCCCGCGAAAATCTCCCGCGAAAATTTCCCGCCTGACCTAACCGACGATTTTGCTAATGACTTTGGGGAGAGGGTACCGCAGGTATATAAGGACCCGCCGATGTCCCGCGAAATCATTTACCCTTTATACTGGGCCCTAGACACTTCGCGGCGTATTTTGACCTGAAGGTTCTGAGATGTGAATAGAGTGGTCGGGGGCTACTAGCTAGTCTATGTCCACCCTGTACACACTCAGCCTTCTTGTAACACTTGTATACATTAGAATCAATTAGAATTTCTATTACTAATTATTAAACAAATTTTAACAATTACCGGCACTCGCTAGGCACGTAATATCAGACTTTAAATACTCGACTTCGAACTTCGGTTTAGTCATAATTCTATTAATGTTATAATAACGTATAATTTATTAATTTTCACAATTTTATTATTAATTTATACTTCCAAAAATTTGTTAAAACATTACATATTATTATTTATACATTTTTGCAAGTTTCTTTGACAAATAAGTACGTTTCAACGATCTTATTACTTTCTCGTTGTGAAATCAAGTTCGGAGGATTAAAAATCAGGTTGACCCTTGGTCGTAAATTTAAAATAGCCATAGTGAAGGTGAAATTATTATTTTAAATAAATGTTTCTATACGAATTAAGAATCTATTCAACGTTTGTTTGTTGCAATACCGTGAAATAAATTGTATTATATATTTTCTCAGTTTAGACTGAATTTAAAGTTCGTAAGGATTAGAAATCAGGTTGACCTGTGGTCGTAGATTAAAAATAGCCATAGTGAAGGTAAAATTATTACGTTAAATAATTGTTTTTATACGAATTAAATATTGATTCAACGTTTATTTGTTGCAATACCGTGAAATAAATTGTATTATATATTTTTTCTGTTTACACTAAATTTAAAGTTCTGTTTACATGTTATAACAATTAGAATGTAGACGTTTTGCCGTTTCACGGTTTTTCCTCTGTTAATTATGTGTTTATAAATCATTTCAAACTAAAGCAGCACCATGCCCACCCTTAATTAAACCGTCTC